TTACTTTTATAATTGCTTTTGCAGGTAATCCATGCTTATCTGGGCCTTTTAAAGAAGGAGAGGGCATTGGAACAAGTGAATGAAGTATACATCCTGCCATGCTTCTTGATGGAGAAGTGGAGGCGAAGAGACTAAAACAACTACCTCTATACCAAGGTGAAGTTCTCTTCCTATAGGTATATCCTTATGCCTATATGTGAGAACCACCACTGGACTCTCCTTGTGGCGGATGTCAAGAGAAAAACCATTTCCATCCTGGATTCTCTTGGACATCAGAACACAGATGTTGAAAATTTATGGAGGTAATTAATTTGTCTCATAATTATTCTGATATTTTAGACAACAAATTTACTCACTTGCATTTGAAATTTTAGCAAATTAAATAATTTATAGACTTGATTTTAAAATCTATTTTAAAAGAATTATATTAATTTTGAAATAGATATACAAAATATTGATAATTAAATTTCTTAATTGCTTATTTATATTTTTAAGAATGCATAAAAAAAGAACAGCCTAAATTCTCTGTTATTTACTATTCACTTTACTTTTATGACAGGAAGTACATGTTCACACGGGAAAGATATGCCCCAGAGGATCTGCTGTCATGGAAGCCAGTTCAGGAGAGGGTTCAACAGCAGAGAGATGGCCATAGTTGTGGTGTCTTTATTCTTATGGTAAGATTGAGAAAGATACTCCTTTTTTAAATATAAAATAAACTTTCAATACTGTATCTTATCTAAGTGCATTTTTTCCTTCTTTTAATTGTAAACTTCAAAAAGAAATAATAATAAAAGATGCTGTCAATATTTTTGGTTGTAATAGATTATAACTACTATAAAAATACTTTGGGGATTAAGAAGGTCAACATATTATTTTTTTATATAAGTCAATCATGTATTTTAATCCAAACAAATTTTAGTTTGCAGAAGCCCTACTCAATGGTATTCCACCCGCCCTGATGATGCAGGCACATGCAAGGAAGTTCCGAGGCTATGTGAAGGAACGGCTGCTGTCCAATGCTTCAGATGTAAAAGGAGACACGTGTGCCATGCCCTTCTGCTTCAAGCCAACGAACGATGTTTGGGTGCAGTGTAGAGACTGTTTGCTTTGGTCCCATTCCAAGTGTTCCGGGATGAAGCGCCAGAAAAAGGATCAGTTGTGTTCGTTGTGTATGTGGAGGGAGGAGGCAGAAGCTGGGTGCCACTGACGCAGTGATAATCAGTGACATACAGTGATGACATATATGGACAGTGTTTTATAGTATAAGATTATTTATTTATTTATTTATTTATTTAATATTTATGTTAAGTTTTCTCAGGTAGAAAGAGTGTTTTAAATTCACTGCAATTGTTGTGGACTTTGTTTTTTTTTCAACAGTATTCTTATGTGAATCAAAATTAGGTATTTATATGACTTTCAATTAATGACAATGTTAAAGGTTTAATTTTGTTGTTTTTTTTCTGTGCTTTTGGATAAAATTGAATAATACATTGTGAATCAAATTATCAGTTTTATTTTCATTTTGTTTCAAATAAACTGAAAGTGGCAACTTTGATGCAAATTCTGTACTAATTATATGTTTTGTTTTAAAAATTATGTATTTATTTATTAAGTAGAATTCATTGCAATTTTTATGGATTTTGTTACCTTTCAACTACAATCTTATATGAAACACAATTTAGGTTTTATTATCCTTCAATTAATGCAAGTTCAATATTAAATCTGATGATGTTAGTATGTCACCTTGAAACTTAAAGAATATAATGATTAATTCCAGTACTGTAATTGAAAGGAAGATATTTGTTACTCAGTTAGGATTAAGACTGAATAAAAAAGAAACTTGACGTGGTTTTATTGTTTTCCTTTAATATTGAAGGATTAGATAAAAATTAATTTAATACCTGCCCAAACCTGAAAGTCCCATTTTGAGAAGACTGAGAAGTTGAATTTTTTTCTTGACGAAAACCTGTCTTTACCTTCCATCTTGTTTTCTTTTATTTAATTGGTTTGGGAGAGGACACAAGGCCACTTTTTTTTTAAATTTTAGATAGTAATTTATTAACTCTAAAAATTCCAAAGAGGGGCCCCCTTTCATCTGTCTTGATACTGATAAAGTTGTCCTGATCCAGTATTAGGATATCATAAACGTTACGGTTCAGAGTTACTGAAGTAAAGAAATCCATGTTTTGAAATTTTAAATCAGTTCCTATTCACTTTTGGTACACGGAACAGAAGTTATAGTCAAGAATTTACTTTCCGAGTGTCAATTATTGAGAGTAATCTCAAGCATAGCTGTTTTCATGACATCTTTTCCCTTCTACAAGGATGGTACCTTAGCCCAGGACTAAAATTATACATAGTCATAATTAATGGTCTCGATAATAAAAAAGTTACCTGTTTATTTTCTCATATTAGAAGAAAGATAAAGTAATCCGGAACAAATTACATGGTCTTATTTAAAACGTTCCGGGGGCCGTTTTTCAAAAGAACTTACGACTTAAGACCAACGTTAATTCTTCACATAACTCTTAAACATCATATTGAAAGTTATTTTAAACCTTTTAAAAGGAATGTGGTAAGATATTTTAGCAGAAAGAAATTTTCTCAGAGAATTAATAATTTTGCGAAACTTTACAATCATCTTAAGTTTTTGGTCTTAGTCGTAAGCCTTTTCGTAAAACGGGCCCCTGGGTTTCAATATCTAATAATTTCTTTACTAAGCTGTTCCTTTCTAACTCCATGCCAAGGAGAACCATATATTCTAGAACCAATATTTTCCAGTTTTTAGCGAGGGGAGGTTAGCCCGGAACCAAAAATTATGGTCATAATGAACGTTCCGGGTTATAATTTCTGAAAGATATTTCAAATATTTTTGCCCCTAAGATGTTTCTTTTCCAGTTTTTAGCGAGGCGAAGTTAGCCCGGAACCAAAAAATATGGTCATAATGAACGTTCCGGGTTATAATAACTGAAAAATATTCATATATTTTTGCCCCTAAGTTGTTTCTTTTCCAGTTTTTAGCGAGGCGAAGTTAGCCCGGAACCAAAAAATATGGTCATAATGAACGTTCCGGGTTATAATAACTGAAAAATATTCATATATTTTTGCCCCTAAGTTGTTTCTTTTCCAGTTTTTAGCGAGGCAAAGTTAGCCCGAAACCAAAAAACATGGTCATAATGAACGTTCCGGGTTATAATAACTGAAAGATATTCATATATTTTGCCCCATAAGATGTTCTTTTCCAGTTTTTAGCGAGGTGAAGTTAGCCCGGAACCAAAAATTATGGTCATAATGAACGTTCCGGGTTATAATAACTGAAAGATATTCATATATTTTGCCTCTAAGATGTTCTTTTCCAGTTTTTAGCGAGGTGAAGTTAGCCCGGAACCAAAAATTATGGTCATAATGAACGTTCCGGGTTATAATTTCTGAAAGATATTTCAAATATTTTTGCCCCTAAGATGTTTCTTTTCCAGTTTTTAGCGAGGCGAAGTTAGCCCGGAACCAAAAAATATGGTCATAATGAACGTTCCGGGTTATAATAACTGAAAAATATTCATATATTTTTGCCCCTCAGTTGTTTCTTTTCCAGTTTTTAGCGAGGCGAAGTTAGCCCGGAACCAAAAAATATGGTCATAATGAACGTTCCGGGTTATAATAACTGAAAAATATTCATATATTTTTGCCCCTAAGTTGTTTCTTTTCCAGTTTTTAGCGAGGCAAAGTTAGCCCGAAACCAAAAAACATGGTCATAATGAACGTTCCGGGTTATAATAACTGAAAGATATTCATATATTTTGCCCCTAAGATGTTCTTTTCCAGTTTTTAGCGAGGTGAAGTTAGCCCGGAACCAAAAATTATGGTCATAATGAACGTTCCGGGTTATAATAACTGAAAGATATTCATATATTTTGCCCCTAAGATGTTCTTTTCCAGTTTTTAGCGAGGTGAAGTTAGCCCGGAACCAAAAATTATGGTCATAATGAACGTTCCGGGTTACAATTTCTGAAAGATATTTCATATATTTTTGCTCCTAAGTTGTTTCTTGTCCTGTTTCTGTTGAGGCGAAGTTAGCCCGGAACCAAAAAATATGGTCATAATGAACGTTCCGGGTTACAATTTCTGAAAGATATTTCATATATTTTTGCCCCTAAGTTGTTTTTTTCCAGTTTCTGGCAATGCAAAGTTAGCCCGGAACCAAAAATATGGTCATAATGAACGTTCCGGGTTATAATTTCTGAAAGATATTCATAAATTTTTGCTCCTTAGTTGTTTCTTTTCCAGTTTTTAGCGAGTTTAGAACAATTTTTGATTTAATATATTATACTTCAAAAAAAAATTCCTCTCTGATTTGTGAAACCAGAGTAAACGTCATCCTTAACATCATAAACTTTTATTTTGAATGATCAGTTCGAAAATTATCATTATTTTCGTCAAGTGGGAAAAAAATTAATATCTTTTTTTTGTTTAATTCAACCCATATATACAAGAAGTTAAAAGGTACAAAATAGCTGTATGGTTGAATATAAAAAAAAAAGGTGTGCACATATTTATTTCAAAACATTTAAATTTAAAGGAATATATTTGTTGTCTCAAATCCAATATATATAATATAAAAAACATAAATTCTATTATATAATAACTTTTGCACAAATTTTTTCTGAAAAAAAAACCCTATTTAATTCCTTTATTCTAGACCAAACTCATTTTCAAGTCACGAGGGAGGGGGGTGGTGGTTCTAAATTAAGATTTTACATAACCATCGAATTCTAGAGCGGAAAAACACGTTTTATTAGAATTAAAGAGAAACCTTTCCTTTTTTTCTAAATACACAATGTATATAATTATAGATTTTAAAACTGTCAGTGTGTAAAAAAAAAAAAAACAAAAAACAAAAAAACAAAAACAAAAAAAATGTCAATCAAAGATATCTTGAAGATAGAACAAATTTCGTTCGCGGTTCGGTTCCCCACTAGGACTTGTTTGTTCAAAATTCAACAAATTGATAATTAAAATTTCATACCAAGCTTATCAAGATTTTTGCCTAATATTCGCTGCAGAGGAAAGGGGTGGGGCGGTGCACAGACTTAGCAATACTATTCATATAAATAGTAAAATACAGATCTGTGTCTGCCATGCATTTCTTCTTCATTTTACACATGTTAATACAAATGAGGTTGTTCTTACGCGCATAAATAAAAACGAGTTGATCTTTATTCAATGGTTTTTAGCCGTGTAATTGAAATATTTCCAAATTTATCATATTTTGTTGATTTTACTTTGAAATTGAAAAAAAAAGCTTGACATGGCCAATAAAAATAATCAACGAACAAGAAAAACTTTTTCTTCATATCAAATGGCTTTACTTATAAATTCCCGTTTTAGATCCGTCATCCAATCGTTTCATATTATGTTATTGTATTTCAACTGATTTTAATTTCCTAGCCAAATTTTTAAATACCCATAGTTGTGTTTTTGTAAAACCAGTTGATTAATATAGTTGGTTTTACAGAAACGGAACTATGGATATTTAAAAATTTTGTAAGGAAATTAAAATATTATCTAATGAGTCTATTAAATCGTAATTATAATAAATCTATCACCTTAATCATCATGTGGGCTTACGGCGATTCGCATGACTGCGCAATTATTTGTATCGATAGAAGCCAAGGGGGTCGTAAAACAGCACGATGGGGTATACCAATGTAAACAAATTTCACACCTTTTGTTTACAAAGAATCAAAATAATCAGCTGGAATTTCATGGATTAATAAATTATTCGAATCAGAGACATCACTAAATATTAATGTCTCTGGAAAAAAAAAAAAACCCCGCATATTCTTACTTGAAATGTAAACATTGTACTATGCCCTACATTAAATGCTGCTGTATCATATACGAAGGTATAAAAAAAGGAAAGAAAATAAAAAATAATAGCCAATATTAATTATAAATAAAGAATTAAATAAGGTGATTGGTTGCCCGGAACGTTTATTATGATCGGAACCAAACTTACGCGGACCGGAACGTTTATAATGACCCGGAACCAATATAATAGGTATTTAGCGTTCCGGCCGGAACGCTAAGTTACCCGGAACGTATATTATGCGACACCGGTCCGTCGAATGAAACCGTATGAGCCAATGTCCCGCGCGTACCACGGTAGATATGGCACAAAAAGATCCCTCAGTTTTGAATGACCCTAACTGCCGTGTAAAGGTATACATTTACAGTCCTCCACCGGTCCGTCGAATGAAACCGTATGAGCCAATGTCCCGCGCGTACCACGGTAGATATGGCACAAAAAGATCCCTCAGTTTTGAATGACCCTAACTGCCGTGTAAAGGTATA